ATCTTTAGAATGGACAGAATCAGACTGCTTTACCACCCCTAAAAAGATGCTAAATTCAAGTGAAGAAATATGTGAAAGTGATTCGCAAACAGTGAAGAGCTACACAAACAGAGTAAGGCAAATTATAAAAAACAAAGTGCACCTAAGGGTCTCATTCATTCTGCTGTAGAACCTTAAGGAAGAGAAATGCCAGGAACCATAATTATGTCTGAGTCAGAGACAGGTGCCCCAAAGAATGGGGTGCAAGAAGACCACATTAGAAATTCTCTTTTTTAAAAGTATTTATTTATTTGAGATAGAGCTAGAGAAAGAGAGAGCAAGAGCAGGGGGGAGGGGCAGAGGGACAGGTAGAAGCAGGCTCCCTGCTGAGCAGGGGCTCGATCCCAGGATCCCAAGACCAAGACCCCAGCCCAGGCAGGTGCTTAACCAACTGAGCCACCCAGGTGCCCCAGAAATTCTCTTTATATTTGTTTTTATGTAAATAATCAGAAATGAGTTCACCAACACCCTGGCTTGGTCCTAGTCAAGTTGCCCGAGGCATACATGGTATCCTTAGGGAAGGAGCAGATCTCAGCGGCGGAGGGGTTGACAGTGGCCCCCGCTTGAACTCACATGGACTGAGATGTGTGATGGTTTATCTGGCTCAGGTAGGTGGAAGCAGATGATGTAATCCAGTTTTAGCTAAACTAACCTTCACCAAATGGACAGGGGGCTTTACAAAAAGCCCTAAAACAAACTTAGATTAAAGATCATTCAAATATGGGCATAAACCATCAAGAAAATGGCAGAACTGACACTCTCCCTCCTACTGAAGAGCTTTAGTCAGCCACACAACAAGGCAGAAATGTTGAGAAGACAGATCAGACAGTAAGCTAATGAAAAAGCATTTTTATTCATTTATTTTTAAAATTTTATTTATTTAACAGAGAGAGACACAGTGAGTGAGGCAACACAAGCAGAGGGAGTGGGAGAGGGAGAAGCAGGCCCCCCGCAGAGCAGGGAGCCCGATGTGGGGCTCGATCCCAGGATCCTGGGATCATGACCTGAGCCGAAGGCAGTTGCTTAACAACTGAGCCACCCAAGGTGCCCTGAAAAAGCATTTTTAAATGACCAAGACCATTTAAAAGGTGGATTTGCATCCACTGCTGATAACTGAATTTATCTCACCTGAAAATATTTACACCTGTTGTTTAAGTCTTCTTAAACCTTGCCCTCTTTTAGTTCATTTTTTACATGGATTTATAATGTATATATCAGTAAAGTAGTGCAGATTTATAATTTGCAAATAGATCTATACCTAAAATGTCTTACTGTTAGAGTGCACAATTAAAACAATGGGAGGGACCATTGCCCTAGCATATTTCATTTCTTTAATGCGCCGTTTTCCTCCGTTTAGACCGTTGTGTCAGGCACCAACAGACCACACTACACATGGGCTAGATGGCATGAAACTAGATTTCCGCTGCCAATCTGGCAGGTTGCTATCACTAGGTCCATCTCCCCATTCCTTTCTGGAGCCTCTAAAGACAGACAGAAGCCATTGCCTTTTCGCTGTCAACACTGAGGTCTGGAAGCCAGTGTAGGCTTCTCACATGAGTCTCCATGAAATCTGTGGGCTGTCAACATCTCCACACTTAGTGGTTCTCAGGAAGGTAACTGTGGCATGCCACCTTTTAATGCTGTGGAGCTGTGCTGAAGAGAAGAGCTACTGTTTAGTAAGCATTTACTCTATGCCAGGCCCTCAACCAAAAGCCTTGTGGGAATCATCTCAAAAATGCTCATCACGACACTGTAAGAGTCTACACTTATTATCCACCTTCTGTGGCCATGGTCACTAAAGCAAAGAAGAGCCATTTTCCCAAGATCACATGTTGCTATGTGTTGTAGTCAGGATTCAGAACTGTGCCTCTCAGTCCAGAGACTTGCTCTCAGTCACAAGGTTATGCTACTTTACATGCATAGTATTCATAGCTTTATTTCCATGTATTATGACGATGATTTCTTAATAATATAACATCCTCAAAATTAATTTTCAAAAATTTGTCTCATTTCAAGTGTGACTTTGCTTCATCTTGGGATCAAATATTTGCCAGAAGACATCACTGATCTTGCAATAAACGTCAAAATCAATTATAATCAGATTTACAGGGATTATTTTGATAGGTTTTTAAAAATGTATCTTACCAATTGTGGGGAAAAAACAGCTTTAGAGTCTTTCTGACATGAAGCAGGGCATAAACAATAACACAATAAAATGTACATGGCTTACGATTTACTCAAATGTATCTGAGACTGCAAGCTAAAACTAGCATTCAAGGCAATGAGAAAAATTCAGTGCATGATCCAGTTGTTTCCTCATATTCAGATAGCTAACGATGAGAACAAAACACAGGAACAGTTGAGTGAACCTTTCAATAATTACGTAGCTATATTAATACCATTTGATAGTAAAGTATTTAAGGAGAGAAAAGCCCATTAGGTTGCAGGCACTCTTAATTCCGTGACTTTTTTTTTTAAAGATTTTATTTATTTATTTGAGAGCGAGAGCATGAGCAAGCCAGAGAGAGCACGAGCAGTGGAGAGGGAGAGGGAGAAGCAGACTCCCCTCTGAGCAGGGAGCTTGAGGAGGGGCTGGATCTCAGGACCCTGGGATCATGACCTGAGCCAAAGGCAGATGCTTAACCGACTGAGCCACCCAGGTGCCCCTCTGGGACTTTTAGTAAAATATAGCAAGTAGAAATATGGCAGGGGTGGGGCTGGCGTTGTGGGGTAGGAATGGCAATATCCTTCTGAGGGCAAGTTCCTCTACAGGATTATGTGCTCTTGCTCGTGTATGTTAAGGACCCTTGAGGTTCTCTTCCCAGATATCCTCATCGCAAATACCTAGGTCATGATTTAAAAGCACTATAATTTACAAAGTGCAGCCCACACCTCACGGACTCAAATACTGCTTTGTTACCATGGCAGTTTTACCTTTGATGAGCCATCATATTTATCTTCATAAACACTTCATTAAATATCAGTCTATCTGAAAAAAGAAAAATTCAGCATTCAAACAGCTAAACACTTCAACAGCCCATATATAATCTATATTTGCAATAAAGCAAAAATAGTCACTTGATTAGATTCTGTAATTTTATTGCTGACATCATCTTTACTCGAAAAGCAAAAGATGCATGGAGCTTAACAATGTTGGGAAAAACCAAAAGAATTACTAGGAATGTAAGGAGGCAGTTTCTTGCTTTATTTATCCCAGAATAATAACAAAGTTCCCTGGTTTATTCCTGAAAAAAAGTTGTTTCTTAAATTTTTTCTCAGCAAGTTGGAGATTATGCAAATTATCTCATGGATATATTTCACCAGTTTGAAAAAATTCGTTGCTTTTTGACATGTATTCATTTATCACAAGGTTCTTTTTTGACATGTATTCATTTAGAAAGAACAATGGTATAATGGATTAAAGGTCCTTATATTTTAAACCAATATTTAAAAATCATGGAAGCTAGCATTTTCCCATATACAAGAATTTACATATATTTTTTATTTGGGCTTCTTCATCCAGTGAAAAATCTATTTTTAAAAATCACTGAATTAAAGAAAACAAAAACAATCTCTTTGATTATATGGATCCAATTCATCACTCTCCTGTTTATAGACAACGAGCCAGATCCTGCCTAAGGAAATTGTCTTTTTCAGATTTTATGTTTCTGCATTCCTTCTGTCTTATATTTTTCATCCCCCTCTTCCAGTCATCACTTCATAACTGTAGTTAGAAAAAGCATTTGCTCATTTTCCCTGATTTCACATTTGAACAGAATTTCTTCTAGATGGACCACAAACAATCTCATAGAAAAACTCCATTTTCTGGTAGATTCTGTAAAGGGTAAGCAGCCTGTCCACTGCACTGTCCATTTGTCACCCCGTACAAATAAGGAATCCTATTACCTACAAAGGTATTAAGAAAGTGCTCCCAGCTGAAAGCATTTATCCAATTCCAATTGTTGTTTGGAAGGCTAAAATACTAAGAGTGGTATTGTTCCAGGAGCTACTGTTTAAAACAATGCAATGCCTGTTTAGAGTGAAAAATCAGTACTTGAAAATCTGAGTTGGTTTAAAAAATAATAACTGCGTCCAAAAAAGAATTCCTTAAAGAAACATTTCTTTGCCAGGCACATGTTTTTAATTTTAATAACATTGGCTTACCTAAATAAATATGTAGGACCTACTAATTGTTCTCTATATTTTGATATTTTGTATATTATTCTATTTTAGTGAGTTTGCAAGGAAGCTAATGAATAACAATGTTGAAAAAGTATGTATCTGTCAGTACAAAGTTGTTGTGGTTTATAGATACTGCAAAATGCTGTGTTGAAAAAAAATTCTGTTTAAAAGTAATTGAAAACTGCTCTGATTTTAAGAGAAATGAATGTAGCCATATCCTTATAGGATAATGCCAGATAAAAAGTAATCATGTTCCCTCTACAACTGTGTTTGTTGGTGTTTATAGAAGAATAATAATGCTTTAAGGTTATTTTCATAGTTGTTCACTTAACATGGGATTAACATCAAGATCTTCATAATTATCTGAGATCACCCATTTGAAAGCAGCGTGGTAAAACATGTTAATGATTAAGACACTAGCAGTTTTAATACTAAACAGATTAACACACATGAAAGTAATATTATAATTTGTTTATTGAATAATATGCCAGGCCAATTTTTTTGGTGAAGAGAGAATTCTCATGAAATGGTACCCTTTCTTGCTACTGCTTCCTATTTCTTGAGAGATATACATGAGTGTGCATGACATATGAACTTGAAATATTATTCTGTGGTTTTGACATTGCACAATTTTATGAAACCATTATTTCTGAGGTGTGCTTTAAATAAAATTGAAAATCAAAATTTTACAATAGGAGTGAGATCCAGAAGAATGAAGCTACAATCCAGGTGGGATTATAAACAAAAAAAAAAATGTAAATCTTAAAAGAGATTGCTAATTGACTAGAACACCTATGAATTTATTTTATGACCACCAGCAAACAAATGTTAAGTCCATCCACACCTTACACATTTTTAAAAAATAAAGAAGTATATTTTAATATGTATCCCCAGAGTCTCATAAAAATATTTCTCTGCCTCAACTTTCCCACCTCCTTCAGAAGTCAACATGAGAGGAAAATGGGTAGACATTTATAAGGTAATATGAAATCATAAAATAATGACCCAAGTCATGTCCACCTTTCTTGAATCATGGTGAAAATAGCATTCACATCCCAGACCTAATTATTCCAAAATACTTGCTGCGTTTGCCAATGCGGGTTATGTGGAATCTTAGAAACTAAACTGAATGTAACAAATGCAGGTGCCTGCCCCCAGACGGTGAAGAATGTGAGTTAAAAGACAGTATCTGTATAACCTCAGCTGTGCCTCAGAAGGGGGGCCAGGGCGTGGGGATTTAAATCACGTTGTTTCCACTTATGCAGAGAAAATCCATAAAAAGAGATTTATTATCATATTTTCTTTGTGAAATGTATTTGTTTTTGACTTTAAAAGTGCTCCGCAGTACAGAGCAGAGTAAATATTACAATTTTGTTAAACAGCAGCCGAGACTTAATTGTCTGTGAAATACAAGGCTTAGGACCTGATCTGAGTTAACTACTATTCCGCTGATACAAACTAGGCTGGCCTGCGCGGTGACCGAACGCACCCAGCGGCCCACGTACACAGAAGAGCCATCCCGCAAGAAGGCAGGGAGGGCAGGGGGCCCTGCACACGCCTGCAGGAGCCCATCCAAAGGGCTTGGAGCTTTAGTCTTCCTGCGGCCGATTTAAAGCGACTTTGTACAAAAAGTCAAACAAGAAGCAGCAGCTATGGAAAACATAACAAATCATGCTAGCAGTTCAACAGCGAGAAAGAAGGGGAAACCAGTACCCGCTAACAAATACTGAAGAAAAATGTAATGGAGATAGAAGTGGGAGGAAAGGGAAGGGAGGAGAAAAGGAGCTGGATAAGGACACAACATCGTTGTCGGCATGTGCACTGCACGTTTTATTATTACGGCACGTATCTCAGTGGCTCGGCCGGGAACCTGAGAAATCCGTCTCCCTTACCATTGCTCGCGCCCTTTGCACGCGGGTTTAGGAAGGGCTCCGCCGCCCGCCTCTCCCTCGCGTCACCTCCTCCAGCGCCACCCCGCTTCCTCCCTCCAGTGGCTCTGCGGGTCGCTTCCTCCACCCGCCGAGGGTGCAGAGGAGAAAGCGGGCGGCTGCAGATTTGCCCCGGTGGCACCGCAGCCGCAAGCCAACCCGTAATTGCAAAGCAAACAAGGCTGAAATATTGGATTGGTCTCAATCGTGACAAGATCTACGCTTTTGCCGCCAATTTGTTTGTGCAGCTCTATTTAAAGGCACTTGATTGAGGAAATGTTGAAAATAGCGGTGAGGGTTTCCCTAATGAGACCTCAGGAGGGAAGCGGCGGCCTTCGCCCGCTGCCGAGGGCTCGGGATCGGGTTGGCGGGGGGGGGGGGGGGGGGGGGGGGGGGAGAAGGGCGCGGTTAACCCCTTCCTGCCCGCATCGGGCGAAAAGCCGTCAGAGACCAGCCGGGGATGCTGGGGGTCCAACCCGCCCCGGAGCGATGACTTCCCCGGGGCCTGAGCTGCGGGAAACCGGCCTCCTTGGTGGCGGGCACCGAGAGGGGGGGAATGGGGATCAAAAGGATAACTTAACCAGGGTGGAGGAGGCGGCCCAGCAGCCAACGCAGTGGCCGGAGGGCCGGCGGCCAAAATCCAGGGTGGCGGCTCTGGCCGCGCCCCTTGCCCCCCAACCTTCCTGGGCGGCCGCCACAAGCCCGCATCTCACTCTCCCATGCCCAGGGTCCTGCGAGGCCTGAGGCCCTTGCGATCCCCGCGGAGCCGCGGTTGCGCTTGGCTCGGGTCACTGAGGCAAGTGGTGCCCTCCGTCGCCACCCGGCCCATCACCTTCGGGCTGGGTCTCCAGGAGGCTGTAAGGGAGGGGAAGAAACCGAAGAGGCAGGAAGAGAAAATACATATTTATTGAGCGCAGCCTGTGTGTCAGGCGTCTTGCTCTCGCGTGCATCTTGATCTCATTTAATCTCCCCTACACACCCTCGAGGTCGGTGTCTCCCTAAACCTTAGTTTCTTCATCTAAATAGTGGATGTCATTAACCCACTATTCAGATGAAGAAAGTAAGGTTTAGGGAGATGGACGATCTTGTCCGAGATCAGGCAGCCAGTATTTGGGTGCCCAAGAGTCCGGCCTGCCCAGCTCTGACTCCGGAGCTCAGGTTGTCGAGAGGGGCCGCCTGAGGAGGCCAGGCCCGGGCTGAGTTTTCCACTCTCTGAGCCAAGGCCGGTTGACACAGACCCACTGCCAGCCGGATCCATCCCGAGGAGGCGTTCCCTGGTTCTCCCGAGGGCTTGGAGATGAAGGTCTGTTCCCTAATGAGCCGTCCACCTCCTCTACTAGCTCTAGTCACTTTCAAAATAAAACCAATCCAGTTGCAATTGGGGTATGCGGAATTCACCCGTTTTCTCTAAGACATCCCTTTTACACAAGCTGTTTAATCCCCTACTGGGTATGTTGATTAGGGGCTCAAGGAACCCACAGTCACCAGAGGTTAAAGGTATGTGCCCAGCGGTCTATCAGAGAGAATATGAGGGGGTGCGCCAGAAAGGGGACTTGATTTGGGGGAGCAGAGAGAAGGAAAGCAATACCTGGAAAGGCTTCCTGGAGGAGGCGGCATTTAAACTGGGCCTAGAAGAAACAAAGAAGTGTGGATTCTTTAAAAAGAGAGAGAGATGGATTGTTTGCCAGCTATGCTGGCAAATCAAGGCATGCCAGACAGATGGTTGGGGACAATCTGGGAGTCACACTTTCACCACCTGCTGCCATCTCCCGGCTGCCCCTCTAACTTGGAGAACTGCAAGTTGATCAAGCCCTGAGCCAAAGTTCCAATCTCTCTTAGGATTGAAAACCCAGGGCTTGGGATGACACCAGCAGCTAGACCTTGACCCCTCTGGAGTCCTGGACTTGGGCCAAAAGGGATTGTCAAAGACAGGGCAGGAAAATGGCACTGGGGATGCTCTCAACAGAGTTCTGAACAATTCCTGAGTTTTTCTTAGAGGGATCTGGTCAAAGATGTACCTTGGCCAATCTGAAGTCTGTCTTTCTGGAGTCAGGAGCAGATGTAGGCTGGGAAAACGAAGACCCCCAGAGGGCAGGGGAGGACTGGTTTCAGTTGTACTTCCCCGAGAATGATCTGCACCTTCTGTCAGCAAAGCAAAAAAGCATCAGTCATACCGATTTAGTGAACGCTCTAAATGTGTTCTGAATGGAATTCTGCCTTTTTTTTTTTTTTTTTTTTTTTTTTTGTATGCAACCAATTCCTTCTTTTGAAGTTGGATGCTTCTCAAGCAGAATGCAATTCCATTTTTTGTTCCTAGAGGTTTTGGCCTGTATTAATTTAAGTGGGCACTAATACAAGTACTAAAAAGAAAGCCATTCTTTCCTGGAAAATAGAACAAAGTAGCGACTCTCCTATCATGGTGCAGATATATAATCTGTAACAACAAATTAGCCTCCTAGTGCTGCGCATTTCCAGCAAGCATCCTGCCTTCTCTGTTTATATTATAACTTCTCTGCCTGCAATTATTTTTATTTTAATTTTCTGTCACTTTAACAGAAACCAGAGCCTTTTCTTCTAATGTTTTGTACACAACATGTTCATTTTGATAAGATGTTCTTTCCTATCCTCTTTTAGCTTGCCTTTCCTTGTTTAGAGTTCTGTATCAGGAGTTTCTAATATTTCTCCCTCTTTTTTTTAAAGAACTTGTCCCTGTCTTGCTTTATTTGTTTGTGTGAAATTTAGTTTGAAAGGAGATCAGAGAGAGCAGGAGGGGTTTGTAATAAGAGAATGACCGAATGACCCAAAGGCTGATTATCTATCATTAACTGGAGACTCGGTGTACCCAAATTACCAGGGGGGACCTCAGTCTGCCGGATCCTTACCCAGCCAGAAAGGCAAGGGTGGAATGCACACACTGAAACAGGCTCGTGGCATTGTAAATGAAGCCACTCTGCTCACGCATTTTCTTAAGGAGGTTTCCACCAAAACTCAAATCAGGTTCAGTGGACAAATTTATTAGATTCTGACATGCTGCACACAGGTAAAACTCTTAATGAAATTTAGTCTTAATGAAAGACTAAATTTAACATTTCTGTAACTAACATTTTTGTGTTGTTTTGTTAGAAGCAAAATTGCAGTTAATTGTCTAAGCTCCAGAGAATATTGAGAAATCAAACCAAGCTGCTTTTGATCTGCTCAGGCTGCTAAACCTAAGCCTTGTAAAAATCGAGGTTTGCCATTAATATTGACAATAAAAGGGTTTCTTTTTGTTAACCTGAAACCTAACCATCCTGGCTCAAGTCCCTTGTCTAGAAGCAAAGGCCCTAGAATAAAGTAGAAAAGGTCTGGAAGAAACTGCCAGGGCTTAAAAAAAAAAAGTCTACACGAATTTGCAAAGGAGGCTTCAGAACAGAACTTCCTAGGAATGTGAGCAACCCGGCAGTTAGAACTGGGAATTCACAGAGGCCTCAAGTCACAAACAAAACCTTCAGTCACTTGAATGGCTTATCCAAAGTTTCACATTTTAAGTTGCCATTTGCTTTTGTATTTTATTCTGAACCCCAGACTGTATTACAGACTAGTCAAAGTTAACTACTACTTATTTTTCCATGGACCCTGTATGCAAAATTACAATTATTTCCTCACCTGAATGCTAAATGCTTTCTTTCTGGCTTGGAAGAAAATGTTGCCAGTATGTACGTAATTTGCTTGAAACAAAGTAGTTAAAGAAATCCTGTGGGATGTATTTTTTCATGCCACTTTTGCTGTAAGCTCTATCTATTTTATTAGAAAGTAGCAATGATCAGATCTATCTTACTTCTAAGGACCAGTATAACAACCACCTCCCATGTACATATCCTGCTGCCTCTAGGGTGGTCCTTTCACGTACATTATCTTTTGTTCCCTTTAGTCTGAATAAGTGTTTTAGCTTTACAGACTGGCTTGGATACCTGGCAAAGTATCTAGTCCTCCCTTATCAATGAAAACCCTCCAGAGCAGCAGCTCATCTGCCAGCTAGTATGAAGATCCACTTATTGATTATTTGAAGAAAATGCAAATTCCCACTGCTTGTAGTACTGGATATTAAGATTTTCCTTAGACATTGTACATCTTAAACTTGCGCAATGTGATATGTCAATTATATATCAATTTTTTTAAAATATATTTTTCTTAAAGGACTAAAAGATAAACTAGTATCTGATTCTTCACCAGTTTCAGGTTCAGTGACATCAGAAACCTCAGAAATCCAAGCATTGCTCAAAGGCAAATTAGAAGGGAGGAAGGGAGGGAGAGAGGGAAAGAGGTAAGGGCAGGGAGAGAAGGAAGGGGAAAAAAAGGCTAAATGGGGTGGGGAGGGAGACATCAAGCAAGTCCCAATTTTCTCCCAGACTTAAATGTTTCCTAATCAAAACTGGACTGAAAAAAAAAAGAAAAAAAAAAAAAAAAAACCTGGACTGACGGAGTCATAAGCAATCAGCTCCTCCCCGCCCCCATCCCCACAGATCTGCTCTGGATGGGAAAGAGGAGGGAAGAGGGATCACTCACCAAATACCCCACCCCCACCCCGAAATGCAAACGGAAAATGCTCAGAATAAATAAAACCTCATAAGAGCCAAAGACAACTTTGCCTGTCCTTCATTTTTGAAACAGACCTAAGAGTTCAATCAAACCGGAGTCTGCTTTGTAGAAGTGTGTGTGCTTTGAGCATCACCACATTTCTGGAACCACTGTCACTTGTCTTGTCTATAGACAACTGTTTCCCAAAAGGCAAACGAGAAAGGGAGGGACTACAGAATCCGAGTGGGAAGGAGATCCTCGCCACCACTCAATGCGCCTTGTTCTATATGTCCTAAAGTTTCTGGGACCAAATGGCTAGCATATAAAATGACTCAATCCCACCCCAGGCCAAACAAAATGCAAAGCCATCAAGGTGTCATAAGAAGCACCATCCTTGGAGCAGGTGGGGCTGCGGTTACATCTTCAGGAACACATTGCTTTTTCTGCCACCTTCTGGGTTTGATGTTCTTTCGGGAGTTCTTAGCAAACATTCTGGAGTTCACCTTATGTAAGAGCATTATAGATATGTAAGGGAATACTCAGTCACTTCTACTATGTTGGTTAGGAAAATAAGGTAAAACGAGACTTGAAAAACGATGAAGGGAATTGAGCCATAATTCCCGTAAACATAAAATGTGTGTTTATGGCCCTCCGGCCTGGTTCTTTTCAGGTCCAGTTTATTTTGAGTTCTCATGAGCAAAACACAAGATACAAACTGCCCTTGCCTTTGTAATAATAAATACCTCAAAAAGATCTGTATTTTCCCTAAAAACAGACTGAAGTTTTTTAAAAAAATATTTAGTTTAAACCAGATTGATTTTAAAAGGAATATCTCACAAGACCAAAATGTTTGTAAGGGAGTGCTTAGCCTCTCCCATGCTCTTGTGAGTCTTTTCCAGGGTAAGGGGTGGGAGTGAAGGGAAAAAGCCAAGAGACATGGGTGCAAAATAAATTGTTGAACCCGGTTCGGTCTGTTCAGCTGGAGGCAGAGGTCATGCGCTGTACGTGGGTATATTACCATCAACTACAGTGAAGACCGGACATAGAATCACAGCATTTCTCCAACGCGGGGCTGCCCACCTGGGTAAGATTGGTTGCCCCTGGCTTCGGAAAAGGAGAAGCAAGTTAGTATGCCCTCACCAGGATTCCTCCTGCGGGTACCCAGGGTGGCCTGCAGCCTGCATCATCTCAGATGCTTGGGCCCTTGAAGTACTCAGAACACATGCCCTTAAGGGGGCAGCGCACCAGAGTCCACACTAGCACAGTCCCTGGGCTACATCAAAGCTGGTAAATTCATGCCCGCATTTCCCTTCCATCACTATCCACCCCACCCCACCCCCCAGAAGGTACAAGCCATCTAAATTGGGGGCAAACCGGATATGGCATCTGCCTCACAGCCTTCCAAAGCAGAGACTAGCCCAGCATCCCACTGGACCTGCAGCAAAATGTACAAAAGGGGACACTGAGAGAAAAAAGGGGACTCCCCTATGTTGTGCATTCAGAGTGGCACTCAGCCAGTCTGGCCTCTGCAAGTCAAGAATTACAGCTAAGGACACTAGAGTTCATCCATTTGTCCCCTGCCTCCAAGCTGCCTTTCTAAGGCTGTAGTCTCGGGGCTTGGCTTTCTGAGCTACATGAAGCCCTAGACCTTGCACAGCCTTAATTAACTGATAATGACACTGTCAGTGAGGACTGATGTTCAAATTAGCATCTTTTATGAGTTTTTTTCTGTTCTCCATCTCTTTTATCACTTGCCATGGTATCTGGAACCATGAAGAGATTTGCCCATTTTTGGTTTCAATTAAAAGAGCATGAGAAAGGCTGAAAGTGGCAAATTCTGATGGCTTTGACACTGAGGCCACTCGCCTCTGGTGGACACAGCATCCCAGTCCCCAACTCAGCCTTCCGCCTGGCCTCTTCTTCCTTTCAATTCCCAAAACTCCCTAGGCGTCTGAAAGCAGCCTACCAACTACTTCCCCTGGATTGTTATCTGTTCCCAGACGGGGTGCAACCATTTTAACTTTGTCTACCTGCTTCCAAGGCCTAGATGTGTTCTTATAAACAAACTTTTTTTTTTTCTTTTTAAGTATCAAATGTCAGAGGATTGAACTACCAGTATTTACACATTCAAGGTTTGCCTCCCTGGTGAAAATGTAAACAGAACCCCACCACACTAGCTATATTCTTTCCTTGAAGAGCGAGGGCTTTAAAACATTCCACTCGCACTAAAATCGCAGATCCATCCAAGTTGGGGGTTGAAAGCTCTAGGTCGCTATTTTGTTCCATGCCCAAGTGGCACGTTACCAACAAATCCAACTTCAGCTTCTCCTTACACCCTGTTCTCTGCCTTAAGATGCTCTGCTGGGGGCATCCAAGGAAAATGACCCCTTGCCCAGGGGACAGAATGCGCCCTGAATGGACTCCCGCGTTGCGTTTGCGAGCCTATGCCCCTCTTTCAGTTCTTTCCCCTCTCCTATCGCCCAGCCACCGCAAACCTAAAAAATATTTCTCACTGCTACTGCCCAGGGCTGTAGTGGCCGGTGGAGCTGGCCCTGAATTCCCTGCAGCAGAGGCCCTGGGAGCCCCCACCACCCCTCCCTCCATTCGCACTGACCTTGCCTTCCGACCCCAACCACATACCCCTAAGAAAGCGCCCAGCGGGCTGAGGAAAAAAAAAGACTGTCCTCACCGAGTCCTTGGGGTAGGGCTCCCTTGGAGGCCTGGGCCTGACTCTGCCTGCTTCCAAAGGACAATACCCAAGGTGGAGGCAAGGGTATCCTCTGGGTGACCCCAGCCAGGCCCAGAGATGAGTCCCAGGCCGCCACGGCCCCGTGCGGTCTTCTGTACACTCTGCCCTAGGCTTCCTCTAATTTACAGCCGCTGAGGTCCTGGCTGACACCCTTTTCCACACCAAACTCCATCAGACCGAATCCTCATCTACACATCAGTCTCCCTTCGCAACTCCCAACCAAGTCCCCGGGAGATTCCAGCTCCCCGCTGTCCATCCCCTGCCCCAGCCTCTCTTCCCGCTTTCTCAAAATGATCACGCCACTCGGGTGCTGTGCCCTGCGGCCCGGTGACTTACAAAGAGAGATCCATTTTCCGTTATAATGCGTTCAAGATCACTAGGGCCAGCAGTCTAAACATCCACGAGCCGTCCTCCCGGTCTGCCTCTTAAACTGCTGTTTAATGGTTCCCCTCCGATAACTAAACCTGCTTTCCACAGATGCCCGCTTTTATGGGAGAGGCAGGAATGCAGAGATATATTTATATGTTTGTTCATAAAAACTGGAAAATAAGCTCTGAACACGCTGTAAAAAATATTCAGTTACTTACCAAACAGGCTAGTTAAACCAGGGGAACACCGATACCGGCCACACCACAAATTCGGGGAATCGAGGTGCCTGCGCTTTGAAATCGCCCAAGGTCGTCTCCGGGGCTGGTGTCCCTGAAGAATATGGACGTAAGTATTTACAATCGGCTTGACCGTTCGTCCGGGGGTCTCAACCACGATCTTCAAAAGCAGCCACGATAACAGGAGCCACCTGAGATGGCCCCGGCCAGGACAACGTGCCGGGTAAGTAAAGAGACATCGAGAGGGGCATGTCCAGCTTGTGCCCGAGTCAAAGGGGCCGCCTTCCCCCCGCCGCGCCCGCTGCCCGCCTCAGCGAGGAGACAAGACCGGCTCCCAGCCGCCCCTTTGCCGGGGGGCCCCGCCGCCCGCTGCCTCGGCTCTCGCCCCCCACTCCCTCACCCGCACAAAAATGGCACGAGGCTGCCTGCTTATTTTCTTGCCTCGGTTACCTACAAAAACACTTCGAAAAGAGATATCTGCGTCCCCTCCACCTTTTTTTCTTTTTTTTTTTAACCAGAAAAGAAAACAGTGGTACTATACCTGGTTTGAGATTCTTCAAGATTTGAGACTTGGGGGGAAAAATAATTTAATAGTAAAGCATCTGCTAAACACTTGCATTAACCTCTGGCTGATAAAAAAAGTTTTTTTTAACCCTCCCCCCCCCCCGTTTTAATTATCTCATGGTTATGAAGGGGCAGCCAATCCTGGAAGAGGACTTCGACAATTAGCGACGAGAACATCAAAAAGTTTTATTGCGGAGAGCGAGAGGCACCGCCCCTGCCGCCCCGGGATTGGCGTGAGGAGCCTCTGACGACATATATTAACCCGAGCAGCCCTAAAGATGTAGCTGTACATGGAGATCTTGCTGGGAAAATCCGCTTCCTCCCCCTCACGGCGTCCAGCCCAGGAGAACCGCCGCCGCCGCCGCCGCCGCCGCCACCCGGGAGCTCCCTCGGCCGCCGCGCAGACCCCTCCGAGAACCCGAGCCGCCGCTTTCGCGCGCCGAGGCGCCTGCAGGGCCCCCAGATCCTTCCCCTGAAAGAAGGAGAGGATCTGAGAAAATGGATGCACTGAGACCTCTCTGAAAACCCTCCGAGGGAGCCCGAGAGGAGTGAGGACACGTTATTCGCTGCTAAAATCACATTCAAGAACCAAAACAACAACAACCAAAAATTTCATTAAAACAATAAGCGCCCAAGAACCCAGATCGGGCTGGTGGGGGGAGGGGAAGGGGCGGGAAGGGGAGGGTCGCATGGAGGTAGCTTCACAGTGAGCAGTCGACCCCGCCGCCTCCCTGCAGAGCCGGGCCGGCTCTTCCAACCGCGGCTCGGACTCGTCCTGGGACTCCGAGTTAGCTTCGGTGTCAGGATCGCAGCCGCGGTGGAGCCCGGCGCCTCCGCCAAGCAGCCTCGCGGGAGCCCCGGCACCTTTGCATGAGCACGAGAGGATTCTGCCTCCCCGTAGCTGCCCGGGAAGCAGGAGTCGGCGCGCGGGCCGGGGAGCAAGGCGGGAGCCGGCGGCGGCGGCGGCGGCGGCGGCGGCCAAGGGCGCACGGTGCCGGGACCAGCTCGCCGCGCCCTATGGGGAGCCGGCGGCCGCAGGGCTGCTGAGGCGGGCCGGGCGGGCCAGGCGGGGCACCGGGGCCCGGGCTGCAGCAGCCCCCTCTGCGGCTGCCGGGCGGGCCCGGGCGCCCGAGGGCTGGGGGGTGGGGGGTTGGGGAGGCCGCCCAGCGCCGAAGCAGGGGCCCCGGCCGAGGGCGCGGCGGGGTTACGCGCACGCTGGGGCGCGTGGAGGGGCGCGGAGGGCGATATGAGTCTGGTGGGGGGCTTCCCCCACCACCCGGTGGTGCACCATGAGGGCTATCCGTTCGCCGCCGCCGCCGCCGCTGCCGCTGCCGCCGCCGCCAGCCGCTGCAGCCACGAGGAGAACCCCTACTTCCATGGCTGGCTCATCGGTCACCCCGAGATGTCGCCCCCCGACTATAGCATGGCCCTGTCCTACAGCCCTGAGTACGCCAGCGGCGCCGCCGGCCTGGACCACTCCCATTACGGGGGGGTGCCGCCAGGCGCCGGGCCCCCGGGCCTAGGGGGGCCGCGCCCGGTGAAGCGCCGGGGCACCGCTAACCGCAAGGAGCGGCGCAGGACTCAGAGCATCAACAGCGCCTTCGCCGAACTGCGCGAGTGTATCCCCAACGTGCCCGCCGACACCAAACTCTCCAAGATCAAGACGCTGCGCCTGGCCACCAGCTACATCGCCTACCTCATGGACCTGCTGGCCAAGGACGACCAGAACGGCGAGGCGGAGGCCTTCAAGGCGGAGATCAAGAAGACAGATGTGAAAGAAGAGAAGAGGAAGAAGGAGCTGGTCAGTATCAGAGGGCAGGGGGCAGAGGGGGTGTGGGGTTCAGGGGAACGGTGCTACCGGACTCTCTCCAATTGGGCTGAGCAATGACATCCCTAGTTCTTTGGCTGCATCCGAAGCCATGGTTGTTTAAACCAGGTTATGGAGAGCATGGTTTCCCCAAGAAGCTGAGGAGATTGGGTGGGGGGGATGTCAGCAGCAGAAGGAGGAGGAGGAGGTTGAGAGGGATGCTTCGCGCTGGTGATCTTCCCTCCAGGTTATCATCGCTGTTCCCACCGGCATTTCGGGCGTTCTTTTCGGACTCACGGTCCCCATTGATCTTCCCGTTGTACTGTCGCAATCATTCTATGTCTCTTAGAGCCTTCATTTGGCCTCCAGTCCTATCTTGCTTTCAGGTATTTCTAAAATAATTGCCCAGAAGCGCTAGATAGCAATTATTTCACTATTGATCCCTATCCCCCTCTGGAGAACCAGGCCACCACTGATTTTAAGAGAGTTTTGTGGTTATTATTACAATGCTCAGAAGACGTAAAGGTAAACATAAAATAAGTACTTTTAACTTCAAAATGCACCTCCAGTTTCTCTTTGGCGATGAGGTTAAACTGTAACTTCCCAGATTAGTGTACTTCATGGGTATTTCTTTTTTATTTGTGTGAGCATTTTAAGACAAACAGTAAATACTAATATGGTCATTGTTATTGTTGTTAACAGTAACATGGAACTATAACTGAAGATTAGTTTTCTTAAGTTCCTACCAAGTGCCCATAGGTTGGTGGTGGTCAGAGCAGGACTGTTGCCATGAAGGGCCTGGAAAATAATCCCATTTATCTCATTTTTCTTCTTTGGGGCCTGTGGCGTTTTGTCTGTGCATAATCGAGTGACCTCCTGAATAACTAGGGATTTCAGACGCCTCGGAGGAGAGGCACTGCCGTGTTGGGGGCCCGAGAGCCCCTTGCCCACCAGCCCAGGCCAGGGCACAGGGAACTTATCCGCATCTTCCCTACAGTGCAAACCTGGGATTGCGATTGAAAACAGGGAAACCAGATTTAGTGCCGACCCCCGCTCGCGCCCCTACATCAGGAGTCAGAGAAAAGGCCCCCGGCTCCTCCGTGAACGACTTGGAAACGGCTGGTTGTTTATAAGTTTGCGTATCCGGTAGTTGAGGGTTGCAGGGGCATGGAGGCCTGGGCAGTAGCTAGGGCTGCGCAAATCTTTGTAGCTTTTCTGAAGAGGTGAAGACTTGAAACCGTCCTACTCTCTCATCCCTTGCTCGTTCTCTCATGTCTCCTTTCCCCCCTGAAAAGTGCGGGGGTCGCATGGAACCAGGTCTCCTTTCTGAATTTCTCTTTCCACTTTTCTCCCCTTCACCTCTCCTCTGCCCAGAACGAAATCTTGAAAAGCACAGTGAGCAGCAACGACAAGAAAACCAAAGGCCGGACGGGCTGGCCGCAGCACGTCTGGGCCCTGGAGCTCAAGCAGTGAGGAGGAGGAGGAGGAGGAGGAGGAGGAGAGCGCGAGTGAGCCAGGGCCCAGGAGCCGGAAGCTGACCCAGGACTCCGGGCAAGCTCTCCACGCTCTGCTCTGAGGACTTCTTGCAGTTGGAATCATCCGGTTTATTTATGTGCAATTTGCCTCCCCTCTCTTTGCCCCCCCTTTGAGGCATCCGCTCCCCACCCCCCCTCCAAAAAAAAAAGTGGATATTTGAAGAAAAGCATTCCATATTTTAATATGAAGAGGACACTCCTGCGTGGTAAGGGATCCCAGCGTCTCGTAGATTCTCTGTGTGTGAATGTTCCCTCATGGCTGTGTAGGCACCAGCGTTGCCCCCTCCCCACTTACCCAACCCCTTCCAGATAAAGACAGCAGACAATTGTGTGTATGTAAAGTGTATCTTTAATACCTGGCCTTTGGATATAAATATTCCTGGGGATTATAAAGTTTTATTTCAAAGCAGAAAACGGGGCCACTAACATTTCCGTTGGGGTCGGTATCTAGTGCTGTCTTATCATCTGTGGTCATTCCCTATTCGAAGATGTTTCCAACAGCTACTTGTTTTGTGCACTTCCGTCCTCTAAAACTAAGTGGAATTTAATTAATATTGAAGGTGTAAACGTTGTAAGTATTCAATAAACCACTGTGTGTTTTTTTTTTACAAAAAAAAAAACAATCTTTTAATGGTTGATACCTCAAAAGAGTTTTGAAAACAAAACTGTTATACTTGTTTTCATAATATTTAAAATATTCAGAAGTAAACTAAATTATCATGATTGCCTCTAACTTTATTTGAAAGAGTCAGTAGTTCCGATCAGTCTTCACCGTGAGCTCCAGCCCTCACAGGGAGGTGACCTTGGTGAAAATCCTGCTAAAGGACCTGGGCTCTATCAGAGACCTGTCTCCTTTCCGCTGCCCTCCCTACCGCAGCCCCAGAGTAGGCCGAGTGGTCAGTATTAGGAGGACCTGGGGCCAGAGAAAGGCCTTGGCAGTTCGCTGGAAAGGTGGAAAGGTGTTCTTGTTTTCCCGAAATCAACCAGATGCCATTCTGTGGGGGACTGGTTTTTGTTTGGGGAGCGTGTTTTAGGTGGAGGAGATTGGAGGAGGATCCCAGGAGTTACTGCAGCCGCAGGAAATAGTCCACAGTTTTTAATTCAAAATGTAGGGCTTTCATCCGGGAAAAGAAAAAAGAGGAAAAGAGGAGTTGTTTGCTTGTAGTCTCCATCAGGGTGAGTCTCATCTGAGTGGGGCCTTGGGGGAGGGGAGAGCTTTTGGGGAAAAAAGTCCATGATTAGGTAACAAGGAATTTTACGTCAAGTAAGAAATCGCGAACACGACCGAGGATTTAAAGGGGGGTGGGGAGGGGGCTAGATTTACAAGGAGCTACAGGGAACTCAATATTAACTGTGCGGTGTCTGAAGTCTTCCCGGCCCCAGGCCAGCCGAACAAGCGGCTCCCTCCCCCGGTACCAGCCGCCGGGGACGTCACCCCGTCTGAGGTTTGGTCTTCTGGAGTCCCAGCACATCCCGAAAGGAAGTCCCTGAGGCCTCCTTTGCCCGTAGTCTTGGCTAGAGCCGGAATCCCTGCTCTAGGAACCAGAGAAACTGAAGTGCCGTAAAGGACTCGGCAGGCCGGGGAGGGGGGGGAGAGTAGGAGTGGGGGGGGTGGAAGAAGAAAGGTGAAACGTATTAAAAAGCGGTTTGTTTCATGAAACGCCACGTATATAAATCTGGTGATACGGAGACTTGCCAGAGGGTTTCCATCTTGGAACCCATCTTCAGGGTGATGTTCGCACCTCGGCTCCAGGCACAGACCCTCCCCTGATATCTCAGGGGTTCCTACGGCTCACGGGTGCCCACTCTGAGCCTGCCGCCTGCAGCGGGCAAATTCGCAAGCGCTGGGGGAGAGACGAGCGAGTGGCTCTGCGGGTTTCTTCTGCGGGCAGCTGACAACGCGAGGGCGAGGGGTTAGAACAACTCGGCCAAAGCGATCTGAACTTTCTCCCCTCGGGTCAGGCGGCGCTGGGCCGACGTGGTGGGCGCGGGCTGTGTTTACAGACACTTGCCTTTGTTTATAGCACTGAGGGGCGTAGGGAGGCGCGCCCTGATTTTCTATTACTCTCGGGATTCCTGTCGGTTTGACCGAGTGGCTCTCTCCCTTTCCTGCCTCCAACGGCCTTTTGCGTCTTGCCTTTAATCTGATCGGGAGAAAGACTTCATATCCCAGAGGTAGAAGAAAAGAGTTTACTGAAATAGTGGAGAGTGGTGGTGGAGGTGGTGTGGTTTTTAAACCAGGAATTGAAGAGGAGTTACCTTCATCATGCATGTGGGCCTGTGCTTGCCTTGGGTAGCTGGTCGTCTTCACCACCTGGGCCTTAGTGCACTTTTGCTGGTCTAACCCTTTCTCTGGTTTGTTAAACACCAGCAGAGGAGATCCAGAAGAGCCTGGCAGCAGCATCGCTATGGGGCAACTTGCTGCTACACATGCTTTAAAACCCGCGCTGCAGAAATTCGTCCTCTTTGTCTGGCCTGGGCCAGGCGCTGCCCGCCTTCTCTCCTGCCTGCCGAGCTGCTTCCTCTGGCCCAGCAGCACCAGCCCTGACACCTCAACCATCTCGACGTTCCAACCTGTGTGAAATCCCAACTGGCCAGACATCCAGCAGACCTGACACCCCAAGGGGCTGGACCCCTAACTGGATGCGCACCCTAAGTGGCAAGACACCCCCAGATTATCTGTCTCTGCAGGCACCGGGGACATCCCAACCTTTCGAACATTCCCAGCCACCCAACATCCCTGCCCCACCTTGTCAAGTCCCGGGAAGTGAGTGGTGTGCTGGGCCAGCATTTCTTCTGAGCTTCCATGCTTTTCTCTTCTACACATTTATTTCTCTTTTAACTCCCTTTCTTCTGTGCTTAAAAAAAAAAAAAGAAAAAGAAAAAGAAAGAAAGAAAGTTTCCAACCTCTTGCCTTGCGGGATCGGCTAAAAGGCCTCTGTTTTAATTGCTCGGATAATGTGGTTGCTGCCATTTTGTTAAAAGCAATCACTCCTGCAGCGAAATCACAAGCTCTCTAGACAGGCCGGAGCCGACAAAAATGCAGGATTTGACGTTAAAAGCTAAATGGGAAGCTGGGGCGGCGGAAGGTAAATTGATGGTAGATCTGGCTGTCAGGGCCCGGCCCCAGACCGCGGCGCGGGCCGAGCGCCTGATAACCCTGGAGCACCGGCGGGGAGAGGGTTCGGCCGCTGTGTGTGTGTGTGTGTCTGTGTGTGTGTGTGTGTGTGTGAGAGAGAGAGAGAGAGAGAGAGTGTGTGTGCGTTCGTTCCTACAGACCCATTCTCAGCTTCTTGGGAAGTAACCTAGAAAGCTCAACAGAGCGGGACCTGAGAACACTCCTTGCTCCCAGTCACAATTTTCCAGGATTTTCGCCCCCCAGCTGGGACATAATGGCAGCTTTAAGAGCTTTTTTCAGGTCGAAACTATGAGAAGAAGACAGCAAGATCACTTGGGGTTCTTCCTGCCTTCCAAATCCCTCCCCACCCTCTGGAGGCTTGGTGGGAAGCTCCAGCATCCGAGTGGGCTAACCAATAGGTCCGGGCACCTAGGAAGGGTGGGCCTCCCGGCCTAGGCTGCCCTTCTCAGGACCAGGTGGCCTGGTCGTCCCCGCGATGAGGTGGGGGCAGCGGTGGCGCCAGGAAGGGTAGCAAGTGTGCGTGAGTCGCGGGTGGAGGGTGCCTCGATCCCTTCCCCCTTGCCTATGCCTCTACTCTGTGAGGATCACAGAGCCGGTATCCCACGGATTGTTAAGGAAGCAGGAGGGTGACTTGTGTGCACGCCAATTTCGCTGGAAGGGGTGCCTAGGGTGAGAGTGAGCTCAAAATCAAAGCCACGGGGAGCGGAAGGAGACAGACTTGTGAGCTACTTCCGAGACTTTAGCTTTGCAGAGAGAACCCGGGCCAGTTGCGAGCGCTTGAGGTGTGCGTGCAGGGGACAATAAATTGGTCCGAGGATGCCACAATAGCCGGAACTGCATTTGCACTGCGGGTCTGCAAAGCGCGGGAAACCTCTCGGCTATTCCTGTAGCTTTAAAGAAATGCTGTGTCTAACGCTGCGTGTGCGGCTCGCAATTTTCTCTTCCACAGCCGCCTTTCGTTCTCTCTGCGCGCGAGTCCCACCCACGCGCCTGGATTTGGAAAAGGAACTGGTGGTAGGTGCCAAGCTGAGATGATCTGCAAAGGAGGCTTGTGGCGTACGCGTCGTAAAGGGCCGAACCTGAACCCTAGGCTCTGCTTGTCTTTCCTGGATCTGTTGACCTGAGGGAACCCTTTCCCTCCACCCGGCCCAACTCCTACGGTCCAGACCCCTGCTTGAGGAGGTGGCACTAACAAGTCTCCGCGACGCACTGGACTCCTGGCCTGTCGCAGCCCGCGGATCCCTCGAAGAGAAAGACCTTGGAGCCGCCCTCAGACTGGGGCCCAGGACCCCTGCTCGGGGCCCAGGGACCCCCCCTTCCTGAGGAAGCTCAGCCTTGCTGTAGGGTTCACGTCTACGGGGTGGCGGGGAGGGGGTGGGGATGTGGGAGAACGAAGTATTTTTTAACTGTTTAGAAAGGGGAGGAGGGGAGAGAGGGTAAGTCCAGGAGAGGAAACAGTCGCACGGGGGCTGGGCAGCTCTGGGCGCGCAGCTTTGCCATTCAGCTTCTGCCCGGCGAGTGCTCTCCGCACCGCAACTGTCTGCCGGGCTCTAACTGGCCTTAACAGCTCAGCGGCTTCGGCCAGTCAGGCTAGTGGAAGTTAAAGTGCGCTGCGTATCTGACTTACACGCGCACAGAAGTTAGACTTCTCTCCCTGTTCTCGCTCCACCCTGCCCAAGTCAGTTTCCTTCGAAGATCGCGTCCCCCGCCTCTCCCCTAAACGCCACCCCCCTACACACACATTCCCTTCAAATTCTCCTGGCATTTGGGCCGCTTTGATGATCAGATGGTAGAGCCCTGATTACAAATTTATTCCCGGCCGCTCCGTCCGACTTTATCTCCGCTATTAGGGACATCTGGGAGTGATTAGCGCCGCGCCCGCGCCCGGCCGCGCTGCCTATCTCGCCGCGGCGGGGCCCGGAGCCTCGCTGACGTCAGGGCAGACGGCTCGGAGCCATCCCGGCCGAGCTGGGTGTAATCGGCGGCCGCGCGGCCAAGTCCTCCCCGGGCCAGGCCGGCAGCTGGAACGCGCCGCCTGCTTGCGCACAGGAACTTTCTAAATATGTATTTTTAACCCAGAAGACGTTTTTGTTTTTCTTGTTTGAGGTAAGGCGGGGCCGCTTAAAGTTTCTATTGGCCCCCTCCTCACTTTAAATTTTCCAATTCGCTGCTCCTGGTGCATTCAGCCTGGAAAAGCCTCCCACAGCCGGCCCTGACTGACCTGCGGGCGCTCCTCTAGCCCAGCGCCAGGGTGCTGCTCTCCTACACCAACAGCTGCGCCCCTTGCCGCGGTGCCCGTGCAGGCGAGAGGCAAGGGAGGCGGCTCTTAGTGCTGCTCTTCCCGCACTGGCCCCCGCTTGGCCCCCACAGCCCTGGGGCCTCAACAGTG